GGCAAAGTACTTGGTGTGAACGCGCCTAATGACTAACATTGGGAAAGAGACGTCTGTAAATCAGCGGATACTTTTTTTTAAACTAAATAAACTACCCAGGATGAACTATTTTATAGCCCTTATTAGAATCATTAGGTCCTTAAAGTTGTGAAATGCACTAAAACCCGAATCTAGATTTATTTTCTGTCTCCATTCATTCTACTGAGCCGAGAGTGGGAGCTCCGGGGGCGGGGCTTAAGGGGTGCATGCTCTGTGAGCGCACATATGGGTTCTTCTGCTCTGACATGATGGGTAATCTGTGACGTTTCGCTCTCTCAAAAGTTGGGCCATTTTGTCCTCATGCGCCAATGAACAGCTCTCATAGGAAAGAACGAGACCCCGCCTCCCACGCTGTATCCAGTTCTTATTATACATCCATGCTCCCCACCTGCCCGAAAACGCCTCCATTGGACTCCTTTGTTTACGTCCATAACATAATGACATCACAATGTAACACTCTCGCTTTTATTGGCTAGTGCTCCAACACATTGTTCGTGATAGGCTAAGCGGCGGGACATCTCTAAGCGGTTGACCAATCACAACAGAGCCGGTCAGCTAACCAATCAGAGCAGACTGGGCTCTGGTTTCAGACAGAGGGTGAAAAGAGGTGCTGCAGCACAGGCAGTATGAGAGAAATAAAGAGCTTTTTGAACATTAAAGCTTGGAGAAATATCACAGTAGAGACACTACATACTGATATACACCTGATCATCAGCAGGAGAGGACTCTTTAAAGTAGAGACACTACATACTGATATACACCTGAACATCAGCAGGAGAGGACTCTTTAAAGTAGAGACACTACATACTGATATACACCTGAACATCAGCAGGAGAGGACTCTTTAAAGTAGAGACACTACATACTGATATACACCTGAACATCAGCAGGAGAGGACTCTTTAAAGTAGAGACACTACATACTGATATACACCTGAACATCAGCAGGAGAGGACTCTTTAAAGTAGAGACACTACACACTGATATACACCTGAACATCAGCAGGAGAGGACTCTTTAAAGTAGAGACACTACATACTGATATACACCTGAACATCAGCAGGAGAGGACTCTTTAAAGTAGAGACACTACATACTGATATACACCTGAACATCAGCAGGAGAGGACTCTTTAAAGTAGAGACACTACATACTGATATACACCTGAACATCAGCAGGAGAGGACTCTTTAAAGTAGAGACACTACATACTGATATACACCTGAACATCAGCAGGAGAGGACTCTTTAAAGTAGAGACACTACATACTGATATACACCTGAAGATGATCAGAATGGAGCCCCTTTTTAAATATATCATAAAACATCAGGAAATGTCCAATTTCTAGGCAGCATTTTTGTTGTTGTTTTAACGACAACTTGATTATCAACATAGAAGATCAAAATATATTTTTTAAGTTACAGCCGTAAATGTAAACCGTTTTTTAGATGCGTCTGCTCTATTGTGGGCACATGGCCTCTCTTCTCACAATCCCCAATTCACAGAAAAACATCAGGCTAATAATTCTGATCTGTAGTTTGTTGAAGTGGCTGATGTTCAGTGTGTGTGTTTATCAGTGTGTGTGTGTGGCTTTGTCCTGAAGCACTGCAGTGGGCAGACCATCTCTCTCTTATAATACCATCCAATCTGTTATGAGAGATGGATTACATGATGCAGCGAGAGGGGGGAGAGAGGAGTGGATGGAGAGGAAGTAGAGAATAAAAGTGGTTAAATTGAGAGAGAGATTCAGAATGGGACATGAAGAGAGAAAAAAAAAAAGGTTCAGCAGTTGTTGTTTTTTCTGAGAACAGTATAATCTGCCGGCTCTTAGCTGAGTTGTTGCTATGTGATTATGGAGGAAGCGTTTGAATTGGTTCAGCACACTGTGTGGGCGGTGTTAGCTTTTTGCACTTCTCTGAGCCATTCCATTAGTCCCAATGTACAAAGCACCGCCAATTCAGAGGCACCACCATGTCCTGTTTACAGCCATCATCGGGCGGCTAAATGTAAAGCAGGCTATTTTGTCGTCTAAAGAGAAACAAATATATTTGCAAAATAAGCTCCGTCATAAACGTTGTGTTATGCAACAAGTTTATTTGAAGGACTCAGACTGTGGGGTGTTTTTTAAGTACTGCAATACTAGCTTTTATAGTCCACTAAAACACACCCTGCGGATATATTCCCAACTGTTACACCTGGGGATGTTTGTAACAGCCCATTTTATTTTGGGGTATTGCTATGTTTGCGTACACATCAAGTTGAGACAATTTTAACTGTTGCTTTTGTCAAGTTGCTGCCACTTTCAAACATGTACAAGTGCATAAGAGAAAGTTAATCAAAGAAACCAATGGATGTTTTTTTTTTCGAATGAAGCTGTGACTGTGGGTGTTTCTCAATGTCGAGTACGCTTGCTTGGTAGCACATGTCTTTCCGAGTCACTTGCTTCAGAAGCGAGGCAAGAATACTTCCTGGCATTCGGAAAACAAAGAGTGGAACAGGCGAGCAAGTGTGCAGGTGTGCGTCATATGAGAGGCCCCGCCTTACATCTTCCGCCACAGATTTGGGGAAATTGGTCCGTGTGCAAAGCATTGTGGGGATTTTAAGACCGCGGAGTCTACTCATGTGCAGCCTCGAAATTTCTCCAAACGAAGTACGCCGGGCTCGGTAGAAGTCCAAGTTTGCTGGACATTGGAACAGTCCTTCGGCGGGACTCGATGACGTAGTGTGCTCGAAATAGTGGCTCTGAAGCAGCTTTACTTGACATTGAGAAACACCCAGAATGTCTGGACCTGTAGAGATGAGAAGACACAAAAGAAAGCTGTAGCTGAATTGTTTGTTGTCATTTACAAGGAGAAGTTGTCCCACAGCGATGTATACTTTTTGTTGTTCTCCCCGTTTTAGTCAATATACGAAAATACAAATTCAAACAAGCCTCTTCACATGATGCTAACCACTAGATGTTGTCTTGTCAACAGGGGGTGTTTCTCAATGTCGAGGACACTTCCTTGGTAGCACATGTCTTTCCGAGTCACTTGCTTCTGAAGCGAGGCAAGAATACTTCCTGGCATTCGGAAAACAAAGAGTGGAACAGGCGAGCAAGTGTGCAGGTGTGCGTCATATGAGAGGCCCCGCCTTACATTTTCCGCCACAGATTTGGGGAAATTGGTCCGTGCGCAAAGCATTGTGGGGATTTTAAGACCGCGGAGGATACACATGTGCAGCCTCGAAATGTCACGCTACGAAGGACGCCTGGCTCGGTAGAATTCCAAGTATGCTGGACATTGGAACAGTCCTTAGGCGGGACTCGATGACGTAGCATCCTTGAAATAGTGGCTCTGGAGCATCCTTCCTTGACATTGAGAAACACCCACAGTCTGAAAGTCATGTTTGCAATATATACCAACCTGTGGGAGAATATAACGTACGTTTATATCGAACTATGTAAAGGTTTGAGTGGCTGGTTCATTTCTTCAAATTATTTAGCTGATTCTTTTCTACATAAATCTAATAATCGCTTGGATTTATAAGGTATAAAAATACTTTAAAATGTCCATCCTGGTTTCTCAAAGTAGATGAGAATGAGAAATGGCGTTTTCTGCCATGAACTTTACAACAAGTATTATTAAAAAAAAATGCCAATAATATTTTTGTCAATTGACTAATCGCAAAGTTGAGACCTTGTGTTCATAATTGGTTTAATTTTGATTGATTTGCTTTTGTCTTGACCTGCAGTAGTGTAATACTGACGTGCGCTGGTCTCAGGCTGTTGCAACTAATCTAAAGTGTGAAATTGCTCGGTTAAAAGTCGTTGAAAGTTGATATGAAAAATAAATGTCAGGCTGTTGGCAGGCATTCAGATCAGCGGCGAGCCAACCATGTTGTTCCCTCGCCACTTGTTTCTCTCCTTAAGTTCTCCGGCACGTTCCTGGCAGCCCCTACAGCTGCAGAAGCATGCTGGGTGGACTTCAAATCCTCGCCCTTCCTCCCCCTTCCTCCCCCCCAGCCTGTAGCAATAGGCTCTTTGGCAGGGAGAAAGGGGTGAGGACAGGCAGGACGGCTCCAGCAGTTTCACTACTACACTACCAACCCCCTCCTGCTGTGAGCTATAAATAGGTCCAGCATATGTCTGCATGCTCCTCCCTGTGTTGCCTCCTATTAAGCAAGTCCTCTTTGAAGCACTGAGATGCAGGGGGGAAGAGAGGGGAGAGTCCATTTGTGTTGCATCCTTCATCCCTTTCATGTCCCGCCCGCAGACACTAAACCTGAAATGCAATCCCTTTAATTTGATTGAGACGCTCTAAAGCTGGGAGACGATCATAGTATACAGTAGTGAATGTAAGGGCTAATTGAGTTTTGCTAAAGTAGCAGGCACGCCAGTGGTTCAGTTTGTAGTACCATGATATATATATATTTATATATATATTTATTTATATATATATATGCATGTGTTCTCTACAGTGTACTGCACTGCTGCTGCTACAACGTGAACAGCTTTTGTATTTGTACCTCCAGGCAACTACTCGATACAGCCACAATTGAGCATTGATTACCTGAACTGATCCCGGCTCTATTGAGAATTGTTGCTGTACAAACTCTTATTTTTTTTATCCACTGCTTCAATGTAACTGCAGACAAGGTACACGAAAACAAAATGAGCTGAAGTGGGAGGACAGAAAGCTTATAAATAGCTTATATGAAAATATCCCCCTAGTAGATCACAGCTACAAAACTTTCAGAATATCAGAATGTCTAAAAATAGTTATGTATAATAATAATAATAATAATGTCCACATAAGACAAACTTTTTTTTGGAACCTATAGAAAAATATGTATGTGTTTTTTAAATTAGGATTTTTAACATAACAAAGAAATGTAATTGTTTAACGGTTTCTCTCTTTTCCTTCCTTCCTCCCCCGCCTGTTCCCCACCCTTCCCTCTTACCCCCCCCCCCACCCTCTCGCTGCAGGTTGTATGCTCCGTGTTGCCGCTGACCCGTCAGGTTGGCACTGCGACCCCCACCATGAGAGCTCTGGCTCTGGGTGTTTGCTGGCCAGCGTAGACGCCGACATGTCCCGGTGGTCCTCCTCATCCTGATGGACCGAGACACCTTCTCCCACATCCGCCTGTGGTGCCCCCGCCCCTTCGGCACCTACTCCCAGAACAAAGCTAGGAGCCCAGGCTCAGGGGGCAGCGGGGGAGGAGGAGGAGGAGGAGGCGGAGGAGGAGGAGGAGGAGGAAGTGGAGGAGGTGGAGGAGGAGGAAGTGGAGGAGGGACGGGGACCCCCAACCTCTGCAAAGCTGAGCCCTCCTCGAGGAGCGTGGACGGAGGGGAAGATGGAGGCATCGTAGTGGGTGTGGAGGATGGAGAAGCGGAGGATGCAGGGGAGGAGAACACTCCCCCCGAACCTGAGTGCTCCATGTCGCAGAGCCAGGACCCTCTGCCCTCCTCGGACCCTCCGTCGCCGCCCTCCTCGGGGTCCCAGATGGAAGATGGCCGCGTGCTGTTAGACACCTGGTACGTCATCAAGCCGGGGAACACCAAGGAGAAGATCGCCTTCTTCGTGGCTCATCAGTTCAGCGGAGCAGGGCAGCCACGACCCAGCACCATGAAGGTAAGAGATGTTTTTTTAGGTTTCAGGCTCGAAAATGACATGCCCAAAACAAATGACTACAACTTCACTTCTAAAAGGGTTATATGAATAATCTCTTTTATCAAAGTAAGGTTACATCTGTGAGTTGGATGTAGAAGTGTCAGAATCAATATAGATTTTTCTCAGTCAGAGTAAATTCAGATGGAACATAGCAAAAAAAGGTAAATTCTTACCTCCGCCTAAAGAACAAACATTACTTATAGTGAAAACCACCCTTGAATGATGGGATGGTAGACTAAAAGCTTTAGGAATCCAAAGTATAACATATAATAAGTACCCTGTATCAAGATTGAGGCAAAACAAGTGAAATTTGACCTTTTTAGAGAGGTTTAGGAAAAAAAAGTCCAGGCGGAATAAGCTTTGGGTACATCTGGTTCCATCAGTGACATTTGACCTTTTTCAGGTACCAGACTATAAAAATGGTGTATTACATTGAATTATCACCATAGGTATTCATTCCATCCAAAGAAAAAAAATTAAAATGAAAAGATTAAATAAAAAAATAAAATGTTTTTAAATTTAATTTGTGAGAAGAAAAAAAGGACCCGCCGACGGGGTCTTTGGGACTTAGCAGGTTAAGAGAGTTGACTATTAAAAGAGGATGGATGCACGGTATGGATTTATTGTCAGCAAATCGGAATTGCTGGCTTCTCATGGCCGATACAGGAAAGATAATGTAATGTACAAATTTGTATTTTAAGCTTTTAAAGGTGGGGTAGGTAAGTTTGAGAAACCGGCTCGAGATACACTTTTTGTTATATTCCATGGAATGCTCTTAACATCCTGATAACAATGAATATCTGAAGTGCTTTGACAAAAAATCCATAAAAAAATTTTCATCTGTGGAAGCCGTAGTACTGTAAAAAGTACGACCAATCATTTTAGCCGGCTAAAATGACTGGATGGCCTACCTGCCTGTCAGCCTTCCATCTGTGCACAAACGTATCTCGTGCCCTCATTGGTCATGTGCGCGTTCGTGTGTGTTGGAGGAGGGGCTCTGTAAGGAAGTGGCAGATTTTCTCCGGTTGTGTATTTTCAAATTCTAGCGCACTTGAGCCGGTTTCTCCAAAATTACCTACACCACCTTTAAGTTCCAAATCTAGTTAATGCTAAGCTGAGGACAAAAAAAACTAGACAAGATAAAATCTGAAAAAATGAAAACCTCTAATATTTGACAGCTCTGACCTCACCATCACTGTTAAACACGTAGAAAACCTAAAGATTGTTTTTTAATCTTGTTTTCTTTCCTTGAAACAGAAAAAAACACAGTCATTCTTTCTTCTCTGTGTTTGTTGTCGGATCGCAAACCTACCCTAAAAAGTGCATAGCGCCTCCTACTGTATTGGAGGGTGTAGGTACTGCACCAAGTCAATAAAAGCAATGTAACCTTCAGCTATAGTTTCAATATCGCAATTTTACATAATATAAGTTTCCTATTATCTGGTGATAATGTGTCGGACAAATATCTGGTGCTTCCTTAGGTTTAACTTTGGTTATTTTAAACAAAACATTCATCCTTTTCCTCCTCCACAGGTGAAAGGTAACTGGGCGACGGACTGCAGTAAAGCCAAGCGAAGAAGACGGTGTTCCTCGTACGACCCTCCGACTCGCTCCCAGGCCTCGGAGCTGAACCTCAGCCACGAATGCCCTCTCTCCCCCCCGAGCCCCGACGAGCCTCCTCTGGGGGGGGTGAGCGAGACGGACCTGCTGTCGGTGGCAGAGATGGTGGCCCTCGTGGAGCAGAGGACAGCGATGGCCCTCCAGGGGATGGTGGCTGTTCAGAGTCAGTCTCCTAACGGTCAGGGTCTCACCCCTCACACTCTCCTGCGTGGCACCGTGTCCGACCCCAGCCCCATCGTGTTCGTGTCGGACAGTTCAAGTGGCCATCCCTCCAAAGAGTCATCGTCCCCCATCCAGACGGACCAGGAGCTGGAGGAGCAGCAGCAGCAGGAGTCCCTCAGGGTGGCCCAGGCCATCGCGCACTTTGAGTCCCAGAACCAGGAGAGCCGGCTCCATCTGGGACCTGAAACAGACTCTTCTGTCCATCCAGAGAGTGAGCGTCGGAGAGGAGGGGAGTCCGGCGTCGCTTCCCCTCCTCCGCCCCCCAGTCACAGTCACGGCGAGGTCAGAATAGCTTTCCGAGTGTCGAACATGGACCCCCGGTCTCAGTTAGAGCCGGCTGGAAGGTCCCGATGTATGTTCATGAGCTGTGGGGGAGGGGGGGGGAGCCAGGCAGCAGCCAGGGCCAAAGAGAAAATCACCTGCGACCTCTACCAGCTGGTCAGCCCCTCCTCCAGAGACCCCGGGAGTCTGCTGCTGGCCGCCACCTCCGCCGCCCCCAAACCAGACGGAGACCTCCATCACCCGGACAGGCCGAGCTGCGGCAGCCCGGACCCCACCCAGGAGGAGAAGAAGTCCTCGGGGCTGGGGAGGGAGCGAGTGACCGGCTTCCACGTGGAGGTGGTGGTGACGGGCGCCGTGGATCAATGTGTGTTTTACGGCAAAGACAGTACGGAGAATGTGCAGGAGGAGACGGTGTGTTTCGCTCTGCCCAGTGGAGGGAGCGGCTCCTCAGACCCTTCATCAGACGACCCCCCTCCCGGACAGCTGTTCTTCCTGCAGCCTCCACGGGGTCCAGAGGAGGATTTAAAAGGAACGAGTGGTGGCGGTGGGTCGGGGATTTGCTCTTTGGACTGTGCGAACAACAACAACAACGGCGGCGGCGGCCCCGGGGTGTCCGTCGGCTCGGGGGAGCGACCGGATTCTCCCGTGGACGACTGCTCGGACCCCTCGCTGTGTCGCCTCTACCGCCACGTGTCACATGACTTCCTGGAGATCCGCTTCCAGATCCAGCGCCTCCTGGAGCCGAGGCAGTACATGCTGCTGCTGCCCGACCACATCATGGTGAACATCTTCGGATACCTGCCCACGCGCTCGCTGGCCGCCCTCAAGTGCACCTGCCACTACTTCAAGGTGCTCATCGAGAGTTACGGGGTTCGAGCGGTGGACTCGCGCTGGAACCAAGACCCTCTGTACCGCGAGGACCCCTGCAAGCAGTGCAAGCGGCAGTACGAGCGCGGGGACGTTTCTTTATGTCGTTGGCACCCCAAACCTTACCACCACGACCTGCCTTACGGACGCTCCTACTGGATGTGCTGCCGGCGGACGGACAAAGACACGCCGGGCTGTCGGGTCGGGCTCCATGACAACAACTGGGTCCAGCAGCCGGCCGACGGCTCGCAGCCCATTCGCACCAAGAGGGAGGACAGGAGGGAGGAGGCCAGGTAGAGAAAGGGGGGGGGGGGGGAGGAATCAGCACTCCAGGACTATTTTCTTTGCTCCAGCACTCCTTGCCTTTTTGTTTTTCAAGCCCTCCAGAATCCCTCTCCTCCAGAGTGGCACTTTCTTTAAAAACCAGGGTTGGGGTCCCCTCCGCCAGCCCTCTCTTTCTGCCTCTTACTCATCCGGGTTTTTCCTGTGTAACTCCACACACGGCCGTTGAAGGTCATTCACGTGAAAAAACTTTTTGCAGTGTATTTGATTGAGATTAGCATCCATACAGTGACGCATAGAAATGTATCGCCCTAGAGCCTGCTTACTGTTCCCAAATACTCGTTCTGTGTTCTGTGTAGTACCACATGTGAGCTGTACAACGGTGCTTCAATGAAATGAGCTGTACCCAAGTCCCAGCAGATGTAAAAAGTGGATGTGGAATGTGCAGCGCCGCTCTAGAAATGTGATTGTATAAAGCAAACTTTGAGTTCTCCGTTGTACAAGACGCCATTTTGTACCTGTCCTGCGCCATGCGTTTCCACTTCTCTGAATGTGCTGTAACAGTGTACTATGTTTGATTAGTCCCCTGATAATGCTGCTGAAATCATTGCCTGTGTCACTGACGTTATTATTATTACTGAAATAGCCATACCATTTGGTTTAATGGCGGGCACAGTTCTCGTCGTTGTTTCAGAGCGGACCCTAACCTTGAGACCAGTGGGATTGAATGGGATTTCAAAAAGAGAAACTTGATGGCCTGATGTCACTTTGTATGGTTTGATTGACTTGCTTGTTTGCCATTTTTTGTTGTTTTTGTTTGGCTGTTTTACTGAGGTGTGTGTGTGTGTGTGTGTGTGCGTGTGTCAGAGAATGTTTGCTGTTGTTTGCTTTTATTCTTGAGGACTGTGTTCTCCCCGTATGAAGTCTGTCATCCAACTGCAAAGATGTATTTTTTTTTTGTTTCAACCCCCTCTCCTCTCCTTCCCGTCCTGCATTGCGGCCGATGGCAGTGTTCTCCAAAGCCGTTATCCATGCTTCGAAGCGGGTGAAACCAACTACCACAGAAACTCTCCACACCAGCTTCCAGCCTTAAAAACCCTTTACCTCTTACCCCCCCCCCCCCCCCCCATTGAGATTGAGGCGTCAGAAACCTCACGTACGATGAAGGGTTTTGGGAGTTGCACAGGAACATGCAGCTCCACTGGATCCACCCATAACTCTGTGTGTGAGAGTGTAAGACGAACAGTGCCTGGTGACGCTTCTGACTCTTCATTATTGTAAAAAAAAAACAACTCCCCTTCTCCCCCCCTCTCTTTCCCTCTCCCTTGCTGTAAAAACCCCTGCAAGCTGACAGACTGGACGTTTAAGGACTCGTATGATGAATGATGCTGAAACTGTGCATGGAAGTGGGCGGACGGTCGGGTATTCATGGGTGAACTTTGCCGGTTCCAGACATGTACAATGCTAATGGGAAATATCTGCTTGAATAAAAACAGAAGTGATGATTAAAACTGGAAATCTGAAGCGCTACCTCGTCCGTGTGGTGTTTGATACGTTAATATGAGGCCTGCAATAAGCTGAGGATTTAACAGTGATTGATTAAATAATGTGTCCTGAACAGTAACAGAGTTGAATGCACTGACCATCCTCCAAAAAAAACTACTTTCCAGAGAATCATGGGGCAAAAAAGGGAAGCTAATCCAATTTTTCAAACCTATAAACACTAAATATGTTATTTGTCTGATGCATGTTATGCCTGTTCAATTGACCGATCAGAATTGAATACAAATCAGATATCATTGACTTTACTTATCTCGCATGTCTCTACGATAAAGTATACATTTATAGGGACAGTTCCTCCCAAAATTAAGTTTTTCCCTTTCCTGTAGTGTGTTGTATTGGCTAGCGCATCAACACATTGTACGTGATAGGCTAAGGGGAATGACATCTCTAAGTGGTGTCCAATCAAAACAGAGCCGACCAGCTAACCAGAGCAGACTGGGTTTCAGACAGAGGGTGAGAGACATGTCACAGTACAGGAACTAAATACAAAAAATGGGCATCACATGATCCCTTTAAATAATGTATTTGGCCAAAGCTTTACAAGGAGTCCAATAAACTTTCAAAGCAAATCTTCAAGCTACTTTAAACTTTATTGAATTCACATCAGGCTGCTCAATTACACCTTATTTCACACCTTTATTTTTCAGAGCTTTGAAGCAGGCGCAGATTGACCTGTGATTGAATCAACATGTAACAGTATACACTAAGTAATGGCCTTTTAACCTGATCAAATCATTTCACATCGCATCACAGGCACTCTGCAGGACTGGAGAGATGCAGGGAAGGAAGGAGGTGGTGGAAGAAGCACTTGGATATTCTGCTCAGTGTAGAAATACTGTATTGCAACTAAAAGTTCTCCAATCAAAATATGACTTAAGAATAGAATAGAAATAATTAAAAATAATCACCAATATAATTGAAGTACCGAAAGTGCCCCATTTTAGTATAATGTATTTTATGTTGTAGGAATATCATTATTGTGTTCCTCTCTTTAAGGATAAAAAGGGCGGATATAATTTAAATGACATGTACTTGATAGCTTGCTGGGTAGCTGAAACTATAATTATAAATACTACTTACTATTTGCTTAACAAAATAACCAGTATTTAAAGTAGTCAGAGAAATGTAGTAGGGTAAAAAGTACTTTCACCACTTATAATGGATCACAGAGAAATGAGACAGTTGGTATGTTTTTTATTTATTCATTTTAAATTGTGACATCTCTATGATTGGCAGTGCAGTGACATGTAATAACCAACAGGGGGCGACATTGTAGTACTTTCATCCAAACAGTTATTAACCCTCCTGTTGTCTTCGGGTCAAATCTGACCGATTTACTACTTTCATCAATCATAACTTTTTTGTTTTACATTTGATTGCATTAAGGCTTTATGATATCCTTCACAGCAGACATTTGAACATATAAAATTGCTGATCACCACTTTCATTGCATTTTGGATGATTTAGTCAACTTTGTAACACCTTGTTCCCGGTCAAAAATGACCGCCATAAAGAAAAGGAATTAGTAACTATCCGGATCAGATAAAACACACACACTAACACCCCCACACACACACACACATACTCTAGATGTGTCCCCCCCCCCCCTCATGTGCCCAATCCCCCCATGTGAATCACACCTGGCACAGACACACACACACACAGAACAATTTGACACATGTCCCGCTCTTATGTGCCCATCCCCCCACATGGATCACACCTGGCACACGCAATACATGTTCAGTGTCTATTCTTTGTATATTTACTGCAGTTTTTCATGTATACCAGTAGTCTGATACAATATGTACAGTTTGAAAGGGTGTTAAATGAAATGTGGTGATGATTAATGGTTTTTGTGTTAATGTAATAGCAGTTAAAACAGGACCGGTCAAATTTGACCGCGAACACCAAAGTAAGGGGGGGGGAAACGAAGACAATAGGAGGGTTAAACGTAATCACATAATGTCCCCTAATCACATATTTGTACTGTTTCTGTTTCTGATTTTATGTAAAGCGTTTGAGCACCAGGAAAAGCGCTATAAAAATTAAATGTATTATTATTTTAATTATTATAAAAACAAACACTAGAATGAATCAGCTAAGCATAGTATCCCCACACAAACACTGCTACAGCCATCACAATGAGAGCGTTAGCGTCCAGTGTACTTCCACACCAGGGCCTCGCTGATGTCCGGGAGCTTCTCCGAGGCCTCAGGTTGATCCTCGGGGGCCGGGGAGACCCCCCTACTACTGAAGGGACAACAAATACAAATTACAAAGAATACTAAACATACATGTTAACGATACATGGGCCATAGCAAGTGTGTGTGTGTGTGTGTGTGTGTGTGTGTGTGTGTGTGTGTGTGTGTGTGTGTGTGTGTGTGTGTGTGTGTGTGTGTGTGTGTGTGTGTGTGTGTGTGTGTGTGTGTGTGTGTGTGTGTGTGTGTGTGTGTGTGTGTGTGTGTGTGTGTGTGTGTGTGTGTGTGTGTAATTATCTAGCATGGATAAGATGTTGTGGGGTAAAATATAAAAAGATGATGAAGTACTACAAGTTATATGGTGTGTGTGCGAGTGTGTGTGCGAGTGTGTGTGCGAGTGTGTGTGCACGTGTGTGTGCACGTGTGTGTGTGTGTGTGTGTGTGTGTGTGTCTTACATTTGTCTGTCTTTGGAGAAGTGACTATTTCTTTCTCACTCTTCTCACTCTTCTCCCTTCCTCCTGTTGCTCCCAGTCCAAATCCTTCCCCTCCTCTTTGGAGTGACGCAGGCTGAACACCAGACGATGGAGCTGAGAGGAAAAACACATTTCATAACACACAGAAACATGCATTACTTTGATGCATTAACGTGTTCTCAAAGCTGGTAAAGGTGCAGCTAGTTTGAATGACTTTGTATACTGCAGGGTAGCTTGTGAATTTACTCCAGGTGGAACTAAAGTCTGATTTAACACTTGATTATATTTCACATCATCAAGTAGTGGAGTCAAAGTACACCATTTACCTCTGAACTGTAGTGGAGTAGAAGTACAAACTAGCAACAAATGGAAATACTCAAGTAAAGTACAAGTACCTCAAAATTGTACTTCAGTACTGTTCTTGAATAAATGTACTTAGTTACTTTACACCACTTTAACTTACAACAACTTTGTACTTTTGTTAAGTCACTTAAATGAAGGAACTAGCTTTAAAATATTAATAACATGTAAGACTTCGAGTTAAGGTTAAACTATCATCCGTATATATGTAACTTAGTGGATGTTCACATCGCAGGTGCTTTCCTTTTTAAAGTCTGTCAACACGTTTAGCTGTGTGGAAGACTCTCTGCAAAAATAAGATCAGTATCCGGCAGCAACAGAACATTGTTTAGAAATATAGAGAACAATGTAAAATAACAAAGGTCTGTTAGCACAGATGTAAACACAGAGATCTCCTGTTGAAACAAACTAAAGAAACACTTTCTGATGGACCTTACACAACCCTGACATCTGAAGACAAATGAAGGATTTTATTTTTAAGCTGATTTCAGGAAGTGGTGCAACTAAATCTGTGAAACTTGAAAGACTTGAACGTGTATTTAATGGGAAGTATACAGAAATACGTTTATTCTCTCAGAACTCAACCAACACCCTCTGCTCTCAGGTCAGCCATTTCAAATTGTTTTTACATTTTTAAAGTGTTTTTTCTGTCTATTTGTACCATTGTGTTGTATTGATTTTATACAATATTTGATACCACTTTACAATAAGGCTACCCGTATAAAGGATTCATAAAGGGTTTATAATTAGGTTATGAATTAGGTTGTAAACACTTTATTAATCATTAAGAACCATTTATAAAACCAGTTATAACATAGTTTTCATACATCACCACAGGCTCACTATTTGGCAAGATGACTAAGCCTTATATTGGCTACTTAGCGAGAATCAACTCAGTGAACAACAGATACCAAGGATGCTGGCTGATGAAGAAGAGGAAGTAAGCTAGGTAGCCAATATAAGGCTTAGCAGTACAGATACATGCGGGCTCACTATTTGGCAAGCAACCGGTCACAGTTGCCCTGTTTACCTCATGTCTTATAAAAGCTTATTAATGATTTATAAAGTGTTCACAACCTAATTAATAAATGAATTACAAACTATTCGTAAACCCTTTATAAGGATTGTCTTATTGTAAAGTGGTACCCAATATTTGATGTGACACCTGATGTCCTAATTCAATTCGATTTACATACACTTAAAACTTCTTCCTTTGTAATAAAAAGGTTGATTTTGGTCTGAAGAACACATCCAAAAATACTCTTAATTCTAGCTTAAATAAAACATTTTGATTCCCATAATTTGTATATGTTTTATTAGGTTTTTTCTTTCTTGAGGGTTGGTTGACTTTAACATGAAACGAAACTGAAATTAAGAAGCACTTTCTTATGGCGCGCTATGCATGGGGTCCCCTTGAGGGGGTTTCCCGACATGTCGTTGCAGTAAATGAAAGGGTGTTTCATGTTGTCGTTGCTGTGGACCTTCTTAATCTACCTTCTTTGGGGGGCCCCTTCTGGTCCAAGCACTTGCCTGTCGGCAAACGGCGCGCTTTATACACTCACACATTCAATACATACATATGGCTTGGCTGTTTGTCTGTAGTCAATGCCTTGAACCTCGGCAAAAAAGGCATTAGAAGCATTAGAAAGTCAAGGTAAACTTGCGGTTAACTTGCGGTCTGCAATGAGTGTCACGCTTGCGCACACAAGTAAATATATATGCACGTTCATTCTCACTACGCGTCAGACACAAGACGCGCGTACATAATGATGTACATTAATTTATCAGAATCAGATTTTTCTTTTTTTTTTTAAATATATAATGGGACACAGGGTCCGGTCCGGATTGATTTGCAGTTCGGTCCGGATCTTTGAGAAGTTTGAGAAGCCCTGCCCTAGACTGTTTTATAATATAAGAGATGTCTGTTATTTTATTAAATCGGTTTGTTTAATCTGGGAGAAATTAAGGTGTGGCATAAACACCCATCAGACCGGTTTGAAATAGGACCCGTTTGAAATAGGAGCCATATTGTCAGGGCGGCCCCTCCCTACAGGCAGATCACAATCTTCGGGGGCGGGCCAGAAGATGAGTATGGACATCAGGGCAACCGCACAGCTCATTTACATAAAACACATTCAAAGCAGAGCTAACAGGACCGGGGAGGCGGCGGCCGTAACATAGGGCTACAATAAGTACAACAGGTTGATTTGTCAAGGAGGCTGTGGCTCAGTGGGATAGTGTGCTGATCTTCGGATCAGGGAGAGCTGGTTTGAGTCCCAGTGCAGTCAGCATGTCGTTGTGTCCCTGGGCAAGACATTTCACCTCAGACTACTCCTGTAGGGATTGCCCACAGTTCTGAATGTAGGTCGCTTCGGATAAAAGCGTCTAGAAACTGACATGTAATGTAATGTTTGTTTCAACATCTGAACTGTCAGACTTCTCTTTAGTAATGTCACCGACCATATTCACAGTCTGAGAGAAATTATAGAAAAAACACAGTTGTCCATAATTCCCTCTTATATTTCTTTCAGACTAACAACCAAAAATGGCTTCAGGTCCAAGTTCAGGTCTCACCATCGTCCTTCTGGGAAACTCAGGTGTTGGCAAAAGTGCTTCAGGAAACACCATCCTGGGACGAAAAGCATTTGTGTCAAAACGTTCCTTCACCTCAGTGACAAAAGAAGTCTCTAAAGAAACTGACAGGGTGTTTGGGAAACAGATCTCAGTGCAGGGCACTCCGGGAATATTAGGATCCGAGAAGGAGGTTACAACCTTGTGTCAAGATCTCCTGAAGTCCAAGGAACCTTGTTTGTTCCTGATAGTGGTTAAAATAGATCGATTCACTATTGAGCAGAACAACTCTGTGGAGGCAGCGATCAGAGTCATTGGCGGTGAGGGGTTTGAGAACTGTCACCTGCTCTTCACATCAGGGGATGCCCTCAATGACATGCCGTTGGATGATTTCATCAATGACGATCCAGAGAGTCCTCTTCCAACACTTGTTGAAAGATTTAAAAAGCGATATTATGTGTTCAACAATGAAAATGGTGGACCGGAACAAGTCCGACATCTGCTGGAGAAGTCCGGTCACCTCAGTGACGGTGAGTAATGAAATAATGGTGAGACGGTGAGTAATGAAATAATGGTGAGACGGTGAGTAATGAAATAATGCAAAATATGTAAAACGTTTTGTTTCTTTCCTTCAGTGGTGTCCGATCCTCCTGGTGATCCGAGGAGGATGGTGCTGCTCGGTCTGCCTGGACAGGGAACAAGTGCATCAGGAAACACCATCCTGGGATCCATTCAGTTTAAATCAGACTGTGGCTTTAAAGGAGTAAGTACAGAAGCTGTTTCTAAAACAGCCACAGTGGAGGGTCGTCAGGTCACAGTGGTCGACACTCCAGGATTCCCTGATGAAGATCATGAACACCTTTTCAGGGAGATCATGATGTCAGTAGAAAAGGCTGCGCCGCATGCCCTCATCATTGTGTTGAAGATAAACAGGATCTCTAAAGCAGAAATTTTGTTGTTTGAGATGCTGCCAACACTCTTTGGCAAAGATGTTGGTAAACATATGATGGTCCTTTTCACTCACGGGGATGACCTGAAAGGCAAGTCCATTAAGGATTTGATTAAGGCTGAGAGATCTGTGTCTGACCTAGTACGCAAGTGTGCAGGTAGCTACAGTGTGTTTGACAACACAAAGAGAGGAAACAGGGTGCAGGTTAAACGTCTTCTGGATAAAATGGATGAGATGGTAACAGCCAATAACGGAAAGCACTTCATCTCCGAGAGGTCCACACGGGTTCAAATGCTATCAGGAGGGTCCGAAAGAGTCAGCGAAACGACAACTACTCAGTTTTGGCTGGACCTCTTTAAATGGTTCATGGAGTGGCTCTTAAAATTACTTGCGGTTTATAATGGAATGCCAATGCTTGCAGCTATGAGACAGTTGTAGTCAATTGTGGATGGTGGTAATGGAGAGGCTGCAGGCTCAGTAGCAGTGTGGGATGAGGTTTCACCGCCTGTTTCATGAAAACAACATTTATACGACAAAAAGGTTTCACTTAATATATTTTAATTATGTACTTGATTTCTTCGTTATGATCACAGAGAAGTTTTCCGTCAGTTCAGGAAGTAATATGTTATTGTACTTCACAGCAAGTGTTGAGTCGATCGGGTGAATGATTGTTGGGGGAATGAAAGGACAGACAAAGGTTCCTTCCATTTGAATTAGAAACCAAAACACTTTGCTTCAGGAGGGATGGTGCTTATGTTTTAAAATGAAAATGAACAAGTCATGCATCAGGGTTCAAGTCACCAGTTACTAGACCATAAAGATCCCATTGTTTCTGAACCTGAACCAGAGAAACAGTTTAATCAGGATTTAGTGAAAACAAATGAAACACTAAGTCAGGAAATGTTTTGCAGATACATTGAAACATCTCCTGTTGACAGGAAAGGTAATGCGGTAAGCATTTTGTTTCTTTTAAAGTATATTTTCCATTAAAAATAAGTACGATGGAAATGAACACAGTACAGTAACTGTTTTTGTTGATGTTCATCACCAGAGTGGTTTGTTGTATGTCAATCTCTGATTTTCACTTTGGGTCATTTTATTCGTTTTCTACATGAATGTATTTTAACTAGTTTTAATGTGTGATGATATAATCAGAATATAAATGATGTCAGATGTTTTGTTATTGGATGATTACGTGTAATAAACTCATATAGAACACATGATTTAAGTTACTGATAAATAATATGAATGAAATATAAAAAATAAATAAAGCATGATTCCTAACATTGTTAAACTTTGGAGTTGGGAGAATTTTATTTTGACTTAAAATGTAATATGATTTTTTTATTATTGTATTGATTTCATACAAATTAAAATTAAAATCTCTACCGGGTTTGTTTTTTCTTATTATTTGAATGTTGATGTGTCGGACATTGTGATAAAAACAAAATCAGTTTGAACTTTTCATGCTTTAAAACCTCACCTCACACAGTGAATGTGTGAATGTCTTGTGTTTTAATATAACTGTACTTAAGTTAGTCTAAATGGGGGCGCTAGAATATGAAAACAAAGTTAAAAATGTTATAAATACGTTTATTTATCTTGTAAATTATTATTATTATTATTATTATTATTATTAATAATGCATTAATGTGTGATTTTATTTACTTTGTATACTGCAGCTGGAAGGTTTAACCCATATTTATTAGTTAATAATCTGAATCTGTAAAGTAACTCAAATGTACAATATTGGCTTCCGAAAATGTAGTACAAGTATAAAGTATCATAAAATGGAAATACTTGGGTAAATTACAAATACCTCCAAATTGTACTGCAGTACAGTACTTGAGTAAATGTTGAGTTACATTCCACCACTAGTAGTATGTAAGATTAGCCTAAAAACATACAGACAGACGGGCTGACATGTTGTGGACCTGTTACAGGAACATACGGTGACTTAGTGAATCAGTGCACGTGTGTTTTCAGAAGTCACATGTTGCTCCTGGATGGGCGGTGTGCAGAGGCTGACCAGCAGCACCAGCACTGAGCTGCAGAAGAACAGAATGATGGCAAAGTGCAGGTAATGGATCCCACACACCAAGAAGGAGCAGCTCGAGGGGAAAATACAGCTGCCAGAACCGAACCAGAACTCAGGCAACATCCTGCAGAGACCCATCAGACCCCAGAACGCACCCTGCAGCGGAGAGAGACTCAGCGTCTGAACAACAGCTATTGTATGTACCCTTTTTTTTCTTTAAATAACAGAAGCCTTTAATAGAACACTTGTTTTAAATGATGGTATTAATTACACTACAATTAGCACAATCATTTCTCACTGAAGTGTAGGCTATTTGGTATCTCGTCTAAATAGGGAGAAAATTGTAAACATGACATATATTTTGATCACCAAATTCTCATATTTCAAAATAGTCAATGGCATATTGATGAAAAATCCAAAAAAGGGTCCTTATAAGTTGAGCCCTAACCAAAATACTTAAAAGACGAAAACGCATATTAGTTAGAAGAAGCATATTAGACAGCGTGCACCTTGTTTGCAATTTCTGAAAATGTGTGTAAGTCTGTTGCAGCAGGTAATATGATTTATTATGACGTTTCCACATGTATGATATCTGACCTTCTCATTGACCCTCTTCACGAACACAGCCAGCAGGAAGACGGAGGCGATGGGTGGAGCCAGGTAGCTGGAGACGGACTGGATGTAGTCGAACAGCTGGCCGCTCTGAGCTGCCTGCACCATGGGGATCCAGCAGATACTGACGCACACGATGCACAGCACCCACACCCTGAAAACACATCATCACACATTCATACATTCTGAACATCCTCACAACGACCAGTTACAGTTGTTTTTTATTATGTTAGAAAAATCTCACTGGTCACCGGCTTGAGCTTCAATCTCAGGATCCATGTATTTCTGATCCTCTCCAGAATGGAAGGAGTCATCACATACAGAGCATCAACTAGTTCCTGAACAGTGTCCTTCACATGCTGATATCCAAGAGAGGGAGTTACACAGTCACAAGATGGAGGAATATAAAGCAGTATTCAATGTTTACTTCAGATTAGCTCCACGTCAGAAATGATCATGCTTGTCATATGTCTATCTCCATAGAGGCTGAATCATCATGTTAATCACATAGCTATCATATGCCTCAAACAGTCCTGATGCTCTTCTAGGTAATCATACATCCTGTCATGTACACAGCTACAGTTGGGATACCTTTGTTATCATGTTACTCTGATATTGGAAGAGCACATTCAGTATTTCCCCAACAGTATAGAAAGTGAAAAAACATTAAGGCGTATCTGAGAAAAAAGACAGAGTGGAGAAAAGTGAAGGACTTTCTACTTTAACAGCGTCCGTTTACCTACCCACGATCAGCAGCTCTCGCTCGGTGGCCTGCGGTCGGATGCGGGTCCAGATGTCCAGAGTGCTGCTGCTGTTAAAGATGGACGCCAGAGAGGACATGAGAGCAGCCAGCATCACAGCCAGCATCAGACCTCGCAGACCTGCAGAGAAGGAGAGGAAGGTACTGGAAACACACTCAGAATCACAGGAGAAGAGAGTTTGTCTATAGCAGGTGGTCTATCATTACACTCAAGGAACTGCTTTATTGTGACAAGTATAGATACCAATAGAGACTTTATGGGAGTCCGATTCTGAACCAAATACAATTTCCTCTGTTTTCTTTGTGTTGATCTCCAAAAGCATTATTATAACGTCCCTCTGTTGACACTCTGTTAAAGTGGACATTGTTTTTTTATGATCACATTTTTTATTTATTTAAGCAGAAACACAGAAAAACATGGTACAAAACACATACTGTACATACCACGTGAAAGAACATACAAACAGTTCCCTTACAAAACAAACAAAAATAAATCAAATAAAACCCCCACCCTCCCAGGACCCCCGTGGGCCGGATCAAGAGGCAACAAGTAGCGTACAATTACATATGCGCACACAAAAAAGGGAGTTAAAGTGGTCATTGTTAGGGTTTCTGGTAAAGGTGCAGCTAGTTTGAATGACTTTGTATACTGCAGGGTAGCTTGTGAATTTACTCCAGGTGGAACTAAAGTCTGATTTAACACTTAATATTTCACATCATCAAGTAGTGGAGTAAACTACTCCATTGTAGTGGAGTAGAAGTACAAACTAGCAACAAATGGAAATACTCAAGTAAAGTACAAGTACCTCAAAATTGTACTTCCGACTGTGAGTAAATGTAGCTACTTAGTTTACACCACTGCATTCACCACTTTAACTTACAACATATTTAGTTTGTACTTTTGTTAAGTCACTTAAATGAAGGAACTAGCTTTAAAATATTAATAACAATGTAAGACTTTGAGTTAAGGTTAAACTATCATCTGTATATGTAACTTAGTGGATGTTCATATCGCAGGTGCTTTCCTTTTTAAAGTCTGTCAACACGTTTAGCTGTCGACAAGTGGAAGACTCTGCAAAAATAAGATCAGTATCCGGCAGTAACAGAACATTGTTTAGAAAGAGAACAATGTAACATAACAAAGGTCTGTTAGCATAGATGTAAACACTGAGAGATCTCCTGTTGAAACAAACTAAAGAAACACTTTCTGATGGACCTTACACAAACCCTGACATCTGAAGACAAATGAAGGATTTTATTTTGACACTGATTTCAGGAAGTGGTGCAACTAAATCTGTGAAACTTGAAAGACTTGAACGTGTATTTAATGGAAAGTATACGGAAATACCTTTATTCTCTCAGGACTCAACCAACACCCTCTGCTCTCAGGTCAGCCATTTTGTATTGTTTTTACATTTTTTAAGTTGTTTTTCTGTCTATTTGTACCATTGTGTCTTATTGATTTTATACAATATTTGATGTGACACCTGATGTCCTAATTCAATTCGATTTAAATTACACGTAAAACTTCTTCCTTTGTAATGAAAAAGGTTGATTTTGGTCTGAAGAACACATCCAATAATACTCTTAATTCTAGCTTAATTAGTGTTGTGTTCGAAAGCTGTTACCGTTCATGGTGCTCGCAGGTCAATTTTGACCCATGATTTATCTCAGTCCAAAACACACAAAAATAATGACTATCATCCAATATTGTTTTAATTACATCATAACTAACTTATAATGCATTCATAACCGTACAATCCTGTTGTAATTTAATGTTAACTTATGGCCCCAAAACACATTACACCACATATTGCACATGTGCATGTGTGTTCAGGTTCAAGTGTTAGTGTACATATTCTTTGAGAAAGGTGGAGTTCCCGTGGGGGGAGGGGGGCCAGAGGGAGGGGAGACCAGGTGCATGTTGCGAAAAAAGTATTGTTACAGTGGATGAAGGGGGAGGGGTGTCTAAAGTCAAAGATGAATCTCGATTGGGCCAAATTTGACCCAGAGTCACCCAAAACAATTCTGCTGGCTCTCCACAGACCCGAACACCAAATTATACACTTTTTATGTCTTTATATATCTGAAGGTCTATAGTGTTTTATTTTAGCAAAGTCAGACTTTGCTAAAATTGTCAAAATCAGTTTGGAGTGTTTATATAGCTGTTAGAGGATATCATGATGCCTTGTTCCGATAAAAAAAAACTAGAGTTTAGTTATTATATAATTTTAACTTGAAACGGGACACGGGAGACCCGAACACAACATAAAGGTTAAATACTTTTTTTTGATTCCCATCATTTTTTGTTAGGTTTTTTCTTTCTTGAGGGTTGGTTGACTGTTCAACATGTTATTACCCTAGACTGTTTTATAAGAGATGTCTATTATTTTGTTTAATCTGGGAGAAGTTAAGGTGTGGTAGATCATATCAGAACCCTATTGTTCCCATCAGACACACACAGGTTTTAAATAGGAGCCATCTTGTTCTAGAAGTCCCCAACATGCCTGCACAAAACTGGACAGGCTGGCTTTAAACACTGATCGAACAGAATGAAGTTTGACAGGTCAGAAGGATGAGTCATTAGATTACATTACATTACATTACATTACATGTTACTTGTTAGACGCTTTTATCCAAAGCGACTTACAGTCAGATGATCAGACTTTGTTTTGAGGACAAACTGAAACCAGCTGAAACATGTATTAGAAATCATTTGATGCACTGTATTAGGGCTACAATAAGTACAACAGGTTGATTTGTCAAGGAGGCTGTGGCTCAGTGGGATAGTGTGCTGATCTTCGGATCAGGGGAGAGCTGGTTTGAGTCCCACTGCTGACAGCATGTCGTTGTGTCCCTGGGCAAGACACTTCACCTCAAATTACTCCTGTGGGGATTGCCCACAGTATTGAGCGTCTAACAAGTAACATGTAATGTAATGTTTGTTTCAACATCTGAACCGTCAGACTTCTCTTTAGTAATGTCACCGACCATATTCACAGTCATAATAACTGAGAGAAATTATAGAAAAACACTGTTGTCCATAATTCCCTCTTACATTTCTTTCAGGCTAACAACCAAAAATGGCTTCAGGTCCAAGTTCAGGTCTCACCATCGTCCTTCTGGGAAACTCAGGTGTTGGCAAAAGTGCTTCAGGAAACACCATCCTGGGCCGAAAAGCATTTGTGTCAAAACGTTCCTTCACCTCAGTGACAAAAGAAGTCTCTAAAAAAACTGACAGGGTGTTTGGGAAACAGATCTCAGTGCAGGACACTCCGGGAATATTAAGATCCGAGAAGGAGGTTACAACCTTGTGTCAAGATCTCCTGAAGTCCAAGGAACCTTGTTTGTTCCTGGTAGTGGTTAAAATAGATCGATTCACTATTGAGCAGAACAACTCTGTGGAGGCAGCGATCAGAGTCATTGGCGGTGAGGGGTTTGAGAACTGTCACCTGCTCTTCACATCAGGCGATGCCCTCAATGACATGTCGTTGGATGATTTCATCAATGATGATCCAGAGAGTCCTCTTCCAACACTTGTTGAAAGATTTAAAGGAAGATATTTTGTGTTCAACAATAAAAATGGAGGACAGGAACAAGTCCGACATCTGCTGGAGAAGTCCGGTCACCTCAGTGACGGTGAGTAATGAAATAATGGTGAGACGGTGAGAAATGAAATAATGCAAAATATATAAAACGTTTTGTTTCTTTCCTTCAGTGGTGTCCGATCCTCCTGGTCCTCCGAGGAGGATGGTGCTGCTCGGTCTGCCTGGACAGGGAAAAAGTGCATCAGGAAACACCATCCTGGGATCCATTCAGTTTAAATCAGGCTGTGGCCTTCAAGGAGTAAGTACAGAAGCTGTTTCTAAAACAGCCACAGTGGAGGGTCGTCAGGTCACAGTGGTGGACACTCCAGGATTCACTGATGAAGAGCCTGAATGCCTTTTCAGGGAGATCAAGATGTCAGTAGAAAAGGCTGATCCAGGGCCGCATGCCTTCATCATTGTGTTGAAGATAAACAGAATCTCTAAAGCAGAAATTATGTTGTTTGAGATGCTGCCAAAACTCTTTGGCAAAGGTGTTCGTAAACATATGATGGTCCTATTCACTCACGGAGATGACCTCAAAGGCCAGTCCATTGAGGATTTGATTAAGGCTGAGAGATCTGTGTCTGACCTAGTATGCAAGTGTGCAGGTAGATACAGTGTGTTTGACAACACAAAGAGAGGAAACAGGGTGCAGGTTAAACATCTTCTGGATAAAATGGATGAGATGGTAGCAGCCAATAACGGAGGGCACTTCATCTCCGAGAGGTCCACACGGGTTCAAATGGCATCAGAAGGAGGGTCCGAAATAGTCAGAACAGATTATGTTTCTACGAGATGGCAGAAGATCGGTAAATGGTTCATACAGATGCTCGTGCAATTACGTATCATGTCATTTGTTAGACGCTTTTATCCAAAGCGACTTACTTAGTTATTCAGTACTGTGGACAATCCCCACAGGAGCAATTTGGGGTGAAGTGTCTTGCCCAGGGACACAACGACATGCTGTCTGCAGTGGGACTCGAACTTGCTATCCCCTGATTTGAAGTCCAGCCCACCACCCACTGAGCCACAGCCCCCCCGATTAGTAACGACTTATGGTAAAAGTAAGGTAATGAACCTACGAGACAGGTGTAGTCAATTGTGGATGGTGGTAATAGATATAAATAGAATTGGGAGGGATGAACCCCTCTTTAATGGTCTCACATGCAGAGCACAGCACACACAGTGAAATGTGTTCTCTGCTTTCAACCCATCCTAGTACCAGGAGTCTAGTACTAGGAGCAGTGGGCAGCTATTGTACAGCGCCCGGGGAGCAATGGGAGTGAGGGGGGTGGGGGGTGTCCGGTGCCTTGCTCAAGGGCACCACAGCAAGGCAGGAGGTGAACTGGGATCTCTCCCAGTAGCAGTCCACACTCCATATTTAGGGCTGGTCTGGGACTTGAACCGGCGACCCCAGGGCTCACAGTCTAAGCCCCTACTGCCGGAGAGGCTGCAGGCTTAGTAGCAGTGTGGGATGAGGTTTCACCGCCTGTTTCATGAAAACAACATTTATACGACAAAAAGGTTTCACTTAATATATTTTAATTATGTACTTGATTTCTTCGTTATGATCAGAGAGATGTTTTCCGTTAGTTCAGGAAGTAATATGTTATTGTACTTCCAGCAAGTGTTGAGTCGATCGGGTGAATGATTGTTGGGGGAATGAAAGGACAGACAAAGGTTCCTTCCATTTGAATCAGAAACCAAAACACTTTGCTTCAGGAGAGATGGTGCTTATGTTTTTCAAATGAAAATGAACAAGTCATGTATCAGGCTTCAAGTCACCAGTTACTAGACCATAAAGATCTCATTGTTTCCGAACCTGAACCAGAGAAACAGTTTAATCAGGATTTAGTGAAAACAAATGAAACACTAAGTCAGGAAATGTTTTGCAGATACATTGAAACATCTCCTGTTGACAGGAAAGGTAATGCGGTAAGCATTTTGTTTCTTTTAAAGTATATTTTCCATTAAAAATAAGTACGATGGAAATGAACACAGTACAGTAACTGTTTTTGTTGATGTTCATCACCAGAGTGGTTTGTTGTATGTCAATCTCTGATTTTCACTTTGGGTCATTTTATTCCTTTCTACATGAATGTATTTTAACTAGTTTTAATGTGTGATGATATAATCAGAATATAAATGATGTCAGATGTTTTGTTATTGGGTGATTACGTGTAATAAACTCATATAAAACACATGATTTAAGTTGCTGATAAATAATATGAATGAAATATAAAAAATAAATAAAGCATGATTCCTAACATTGTTACAGTTTGGATTGGGAGAATTTTATTTTGACTTAAAATGTAATATGATTTTTTTTTATTGTATTGATTTCATACAAATTAAAATTAAAATCTCTACCGGGTTTGTTTTTTCTTATTATTTGAATGTTGATGTGTCGGACATTGTGATGAAAACAAAATCAGTTTGAACTTTTCCTGCTTTAAAACCTCACCTCACACAGTGAATGTGTGAATGTCTTGTGTTTTAATATAACTGTACTTAAAGTGGACCTATCATGCTATATTATAATAATATAGTGTAGGACCATACCTATATAAGGCATATTTATCCTTTTTTTTTTTCAAAATACCAAACAGATCATGCATTTTAGCCATGCCTCATTTTGCTCAATTTGACATTTTTTAGATCTGTTTTAGCAAGGGCTGATTCAGTGAGAACAGCACCACCTACAGGCCTGGCATATGTACTACAGCGTCTCCAGCGCTTTCGAACGGCAATGGCCGTGGCTGTCTCCTCCTGATTGGTGGAGTTGGCCCAATAGCCGTAGCGCCACTGTCCTGACATCAGGACAGTGTTCAAATCTGGATCAGTTTTTATCAGATCCGTTGCAGCCCCTTTTTTAGAGATTTGGGTATGGAGGAAAATAGAGAGGGTTGTGTTTTCTGACACTTGGTGAGTTCCCTGGAACACCAGGGACACATATTCATGTATAAAAGACATACAAAAGTGCATTTTGCATGATAGGTCCCCTTTAAGTTAGTCTAAATGGGGGTGCTAGAATATGAAAACAAACTTGTAAAATATTATTATTATTATTATTATTAATAATGCATTAATGTGTTCATCACAGCTGGTAAAGGTGGAGCTGATTTTATTTACTTTGTATACTGCAGCTGGAAGGTTTAACCCATATTTATTAGTTAATAATCTGAATCTGTAAAGTAACTCAAATGTACAATTTTGGCTTCCGAAAATGTAGGACAAGTATAAAGTATCATAAAATGGAAATACTTGGGTAAATTACAAATACCTCCAAATTGTACTGCAGTACAGTACTTGAGTTACATTCCACCACTAGTAGTATGTAAGATTAGCCTAAAAACATACAGACAGACGGGCGGATATGTTGTGTACCTGTTACAGAAACATACGGTGACTTAGTGAATCAGTGCACGTGTGTTTTCAGAAGTCACATGTTGCTCCTGGATGGGCGGTGTGCAGAGGCTGACCAGCAGCACCAGCACTGAGGTGCAGAAGAACAGAATGATGGCAAAGTGCAGGTAATGGATCCCACACACCAAGAAGGAGCAGCTCGAGGGGAAAATACAGCTGCCAGAACCGAACCAGAACTCAGGCAACATCCTGCAGAGACCCATCAGACCCCAGAACGCACCCTGCAGCGGAGAGAGACTCAGCGTCTGAACAACAGCTATTGTATGTACCCCTTTTTTTTCTTTAAATAACAGAAGCCTTTAATAGAACACTTGTTTTAAAATGATGGTATTAATTACATGACGATTAGCAGTTTGTGTACTTGGTTTCAGCTGACAATATACAGAGATGGCAAAAGTAAACTCATCCTTTACTCAAGTAGAAGTTCAGATACTCGTGTTTAAAAATACTCTGGTAAAAGTAGAAGTACTGACTAAACTTCTTTACTAAAAGTAAAGAAGTATGGGCTTTGAAATGTACTTAAGTAAAAAGTACCCATAACTAGCAGCTGTTTTAAAGAGTACCTGACCTCCCTTTATATTAATAGAACAATAATGTCATTGTTAGCTAATGAATGTTTCCATGCTGAACAACGGCAACATGACAACGTTTTCATTGGTCCCTCTTCTTTAGAGAAGACCAGGAAATGATGGATACACGGATCGTGTTCAAATCAATAGGCACGCAATGACTCTAAATAATAATGATCACGCCACCAAACACACATTCAAACTAAAGGAACCAGCCTGTTTGGAAAATGTAACAAGTAGAAAGTACAGGTATTTGGGTTCAAAATGTAAGAAGTCAAAGTAAAAAGTCGTCTATATAAAAAAATAAGTAGTCTCCACTACTTCCCACCTCTGACAATATTTATCAAATTTCATTGCCTACATTTCCACTGAAGCGTTAATTAGGCTATTTGTTATTTTGTCTACAATAGGAGAGAAAATGGAAAACATAACATATTTTGATCACCAAATTCTCAAATTTCAAAATAGTCAATGGCATAGAAATGTGCAATTTGATCCAAAATCCAAATAAGGTTCCTTATGAATTGAGCCCTAAACTAAATCTTAAAAAGACGTAAATGCATATTAGTTAGAAGAAGCATATTATACACCTTGTTTGCAGTTTTCTGAAAATGTGTGTGAATCTGTTTCAGCAGGTAATATGATTTATTATGACGTTACCTGTTGGGAAAATACTGAATGTCCTCTTCCAATATCAGAGTACACATGATAACAAAGGTATCCCAACTGTAGCTGTGTGCATGACAGGATGTATGATTAGCTAGAAGAGCATCAGGACTGTTTTAGGCATATGATAGCTATGTGATTAACATGATGATTCAGCCTCTATGGAGATAGACATATGACAAGCATGATCATTTCTGACGTGGAGCTAATCTGAAGTAAACATTGAATACTGCTTTCTATTCCTCCATCTTGTGACTGTGTAACTCCCTCTCTTGGATATCAGCATGTGAAGGACACTGTTCAGGAACTAGTTGATGCTCTGTATGTGATGACTACTTCCATTCTGGAGAGGATCAGAAATACATGGATCCTGAGATTGAAGCTCAAGCCGGAGACGAGTGATATTTTTCAAACATAACCACATTATATCTGACCTTCTCATTGACCCTCTTCACGAACACAGCCAGCAGGAAGACGGAGGCGATGGGTGGAGCCAGGTAGCTGGAGACGGACTGGATGTAGTCGAACAGCTGGCCGCTCTGAGCCGCCTGCACCACGGGGATCCAGCAGATACTGACGCACACGATGCACAACACCCACACCATTCAAGATTCAAGGCTTTTATTTTCATGTGTGCATAGCTACAGTGTAGTTATGAATCTTAGGTCACAGGCTCCTCCAACAGAGCAACACAATAAAACAGATAATAGTGCAAGTAAATAAAATAAAAATATAATAGAAATAGTGCAGAATAGTCTATACAAGTAATTGGAATATTGATATAAAAGACACTATCACACATTCATACATTCTGAACATCTTCAGAACTACCAGTTACAGTGGTTTGTATAGAAAGTGAAAATCTGAAAAGCGTATCTGATAAGAAAGACTGAGTGGAGAAAAGTGAGGGACATTAGTCAAAGTCAAAGTCAACTTTATTGTGAATCTTTCAGTTTGTGTGTACAGACAGAGAGATTGAAATACCGTTTCCCACAATCCCGAATTAAAAAACAAATATATATAAAAATATGTATGCAACAGTGGCGAAGCGTCAGGGCCTTCAAGGTATTCAGAGAATACCCTGGAACACTCAGATAAAACAAAAACAAAATCGATTTAATTATATAAATAAAATGTACATAAAATGAATAAATGAGAATCGTATCTGTGTTGTTGATCTGTAATATTACAGTGTTACGTTGATTTGTTTGTCCTTCTCGGTCCATGCACTACGCATTTAAGTGGTTTTGTGTTAGAAAAGAAAGCAACCAATCAGATCTTGTTCTGGGTCTCTGGGTAGAATATCCTTCAACCAAGGTATTCTATATCCTTGATAGAATGCCCTGGCCGTTGCACTGAATCAGAGCGTACCTTTCAAACTAATTCAAACTTTTATTTTGAAGGCCCGATTTTCTAACGTTGTGCATGCAGCAGGCGTTGGACTAGAAGTACCGGAGACCATAAACGGTTTTGAAAAATTCTGTCACCTAGTGATCATCTTCTCAATAAAACATCTTTGCTGATGTTTTTTCGAGTCTTCTCAATATGGTCTAGCTGCGGCCACGGACAGTACACGACACTACACGACACGCCCACTACACGACACGCCCACCTGACACGACACTACGGTGGCTGAGAGACATTACCGTACATGGCAGATTAAAAGCGAATTGACGACACTTATTATTATTGAGATCGTACATGGCAGATTAAAAACGAATTGCAAATGTTATTGTAGCATTTTAAGCAACTATTAGGCAAATAAATTAATAACCTAGTCTATCCGTTTGAGACACAACAGTATAACTTTCAACCCAAATCATTTTGTCAACAAACGGTGGTTTAGTCAACTTTTTTTTAATATATAAAATAGGTATTAATGAGATGATCTATTGATTATGTTTGTCTAACTGCTACACATGTATTTTATACATAAATGTAGATATTTGTGAACATCTAAATATAGTTGTTAAAGGTTTTAAGATATACATTATCACATCATGGGGTCATTAAGGAACAAATTAGGAGGGCCAGTCAGGCCACTAATGAGCTCAATCATTCACATGTATTATTATTACTTTATAAATTAAAAGTACTAGGGGTCTATTACAAAACCTTTGAAGGAATCGCATAAATTAAAATAAATGTATGGCAAGTATGATCAAATTAACATAATGTCAAGATATAGCCAATAGACAATCAACATGCTTTGAATATAAAGGAAGAAGAACAATAAACAGATGAACATTTAGGTTTTATGTGTAAATTGTGAACAAACCATCTTAATACAACTGGCAGTCTAAGACAGCAAACTAAGCTTCTTTAACTGCTGCTAGAACACTGTTTTACCATGGGGTATTTCTAAAAGACCAAAAAGATATACAAGGCTTCCAAAACAGAAGAAACCAACTCAATACAGTATTTTAATTTCCTTCAAAACGACAAAAGCACTAATAAAAACCAAATAACAATAACATAAAGGAAAGGTAATTGAAGTGGTTGCCTGTTGTAAATACCTTGGTATCTGGCTTGATGATTGTCTCTTCTCTAATAAGTCAAAGATATGTTTACTGTATATTATAAAAATGCTTGTCATGTAGGCATACTGGAGATGGGAAGGCTTTAGTCAGTGTTGTAGCTGAGATTCTTACCGTTCCAATGATGTATTAATAATAACTTGGATTTATATAGCGCCTTTCATGAGAC